AAATGGGCTTCCCTTTTTACTCTTCTTCTTAAGAAATTTCAATATGCCACTGTTGGTCGTTGTGATATAACTTAGGATTTAATTTTCAGCCTATTTCCTTTTTTGTCTGCTTGTCCTGCTCCACAATCCCCGTTCAGGCCTTTTTTCCAGTTATAAACGGTTCCGAGCCGGCTGTGGCCGTTTGGTTTTAATTGTAAACTGTCTCTTTAAATTTCGAGGAGATCTGTGCACATGCGTAGTAGAACCCTCGGAGGGTGTGGCTGGGGTGCCCACTAGCTCAGGCACCCCTATAGTCACCAGAATGGAGGTACGCAGATAGTAAGCGACCAGCAAACAGATACCAAAAAAAAAGAATGTCCACACCTCTATCTCAGCGGCTCTGTCAGGTGTCCATAGCTGCTCTGATCCTTCCCCCGCTTGGCCTCATACAAGATGGTGGCTCCTGGAGCAGCTGAGCATCCCGAACCAGAAAGCAATGGATTTCCTGCTTCTGCCACAAACTCCCCCAGCCGTAAGTCTTCCAACCTTCTAAATGTTCTTTTATATGTGGTTCAGAGTTCTGGGACTATCCCCTGAGCCTGCTTGGTCCTGTATTCTGTGTTGTTGCCGGCAGGGCTCGTCACTGCACTTCCACCCGATCCGCCATCTTGTTTGTTCTTGGGTGACATTTTGAGGGAAATACCAAGGAAGAAATGTTATTGTTGTGGTTGGGAGTGCTTGGCTGCTATCTGAAAGGTTGGAGATTTAAGTGAAGAATAAGCACTGGACTGCAACGTCAGGTCATACTTTTAAATTGGTGGTTCAAACCTACCAGCAGCAACTCAGAAACAGTATAAAGGGTCACTATGAGTGGGAACCAACTTGACAGCACTAAACAACAACAGGAGTGCTTTAGAAGAAAGACCTGCCACTCTACTTCTGAAAAACAAGCCATTAAAGACCCTCGTCCTGGTGTAGTACTGTAGGATAAGCACCGGACCGCTATGGGTCGGAATGGTCTCTACAGCATTTAACAATAACAAGAAAGCACAGTTCTACGATGACACACACGGGGTCACTGGAAGCTGGAGATGACTTGAGGGCTGGTTTGTGGCTGTGTGGAATTGGGAGGATTTATTCCCTGGAAGATCAGGAACTCTTAGATGGTGGGGCTGTATCCTCAGAACCCAGCACAACGCTGACAGAGAGAGCATGGGCCCATCAGTGAGTATCCGTGGGGTGAAGGTGTTAAACCAGCAACATTGGCTTCTGAGAAAAGAGGGCTTAAAGATGAATTTTAAGGGAGGAGGAGAAAATGGACTTGAGAGATGGGAAGGGGTCAAGTATTCTGGTGGGTGCACAAGATGGTTTGGGAAGAGGTCATGGTTACCACAAAACACAAAGGCTGGGACCGAGGGGGAATCTAGGAAAAGGATGAGGAAGTTTACTCCGTTTTTGGAATGTGCCCTTTCCCACAATTTCCCGTGACAATAATAGGAAATAAGCCTCAGGTCAGGTTAATGTTCATGATTTTGATTCAAGGCTTCCAACAGGTTCTTTCTGGTTTGGTCCCTTGCTGGAATTTGCATTTCCATCCCAGATATACTGAATTAGAATCTTACATTTGCTAACTGGCAGGACTATTAAAATGATCAGAATTATTGTTATTATGTGTAATTACAGTGTAACTTAAAGTGTCATTACGAATCCTGAAACTGGTTGGCTACTTAACATCCTGATAGTTTGGGAATTGTCCTGTTAACACTCAGAAATGACTGTGGTAAATTTCTTTTAGAGCCACTAACAGGGTAAGAAGGAGCTCTGGTAGCATGGTGGTTACAAATCGGGCTGTGAACCGCAAGGTCAGCAGTTCGAAACTACCAGCTGTTTCGCTGGAGAAAGATGAGGCTTTCTGCTCCTGTAAAGATTTGCAGCCTCGGAAACCCTGTGCAGGGTCGCTATGAGTCAGTGCTGGCTCCACAGCACATCACCAACCAAAAGGGTGACAGTCCTAGTACAGTACTGCAGGATTAAAGCACTGTACTGCAAGGTCGGCAGTTCAAACTCAACAGCCGCTCCTTGGAAACTCTATACAGGGTCGCTATGAGTTAGAACTGATCAGTGGCACT